GGGGCGGGGCTTCGGGTGGGGCGGGGCTTCGGGGGCGGGGCTCTGCCTCCCTACTCCAGACCGCGCCGACGCAGCTACAAGGGCTCCGGGCCTGGCGGGACGGGGGCGCGCCTGGGCGCTGCCGCACGTCCTTCAGGCAACCGCGAGCGAGCTCTGGAATAACCAGCCCAGCAGCCACCTCCCGGGGCCGCTCGTTCACGCCTTTTACCCACACTACAAAACAAGCATTTTAGGCCGGGTGCGGTGACTCACGCCTATAATCCCAGCACCTTGGGAGGCCAAGGCAAGAGGATTGCTTGATCCCACGGTTCGAGCAAGCCTGGGCAACTTGATGAGACCTCATCTCTACAATAAGTCAAAAATTATTTGGGCATGGTGGCTTGTGCCTGTAGTTCCACTACTTGGAAGGCTGGGGAGGAAGGATCACCTGAGCCCATTAGGTCGAGGCTGCAGTGGCCATGAGCCACTGCACTCCAGCCTGGGCAACAGTGAAATTTCAACTCAAAAAAAAAAAAAAAGAAAGAAAGCACCTTTCTCATCCTCGCATTACAAGGGGAAGCTTCGGAACAGAGAGGTCAGGCCCTGCCCGAAGCCACACAGCGCTGGCCTGGCATCTGGAGTGCTCAAATGTCTCTGCATCTTCCCTGAGCTGGCAGCGAGCAGGCCAGCGCCTCCAGGAGTCAGTCGTGCTGGACAGCTGCCATGTGCCCACTGCTGTTCCAGGCACCTGGCATGAGCTTATGTTGTCCTCTTGAGGCCTCAGGCGAGATGCCATCGCTGCCCCCGTTTTACAGATGCCAAAGGGGAGGCACACCGAGGCTCAGCAGCTTGTCCAGGTGGTACAGCTGAGATCTGAGCTCCTGTCTCTGCTCTTAACTACACAGACCAGCTAGGAGTGGTGGTTCACGCCTGAAATCCCAACACTTTGGGAGGCTGAGGTAGGACTGCCTGAGCCCAGAGATTCAAGACCAGCCTGAGCAACTTAGCGAGACCTCATCTCTACAATAAATCAAAAAATCAGCCAAGCATGGTGGCAAGTGCCTGTTGTTCCAGCTACTTGGAAGGCTGAGGCAGAAGGATCACCTGAGCCCAGCAGGTTGAGCCTGCAGTAGCCATGTTCATGCCACTGCACTCCAGCCTGGGCAACAGAGTGAGACTCTGACTTAAAAAAAAAAAAAAAAAGATTTTTAAAGGCTGGGCATGGTGGGTCACACCTGTCATTCCAGCACTTTGGAGGCAGAGGCAAGAGAATTGACTGAGCCCAGGAGTTCGAGACCAGCCTGCACAACTTGGCAGGACCTCATCTCTACAATAAACAAAAAAATTAGCTGGATGTGGTGGTGCACACCTGTAGTTCTGGCTACTTGAAAGGCTGAGGCGGAAGGGTTGCCTGAGCCTAGCAGGTCGAGGCTGTGGTGACCATGAGCGTGCCCCTGCACTCCTCTACACAGATTGCCTCTCGCCAACTTTGTATTTGCCCAACCAAAGCTGGTTTTACAACCAGCCAGGGTGGGTATCAAAGAATACCCACTGCCATTATCCTCCTTAAAGGAAGATGTTTAATCTCACAGGAAGCCTACTATGTTGTTCTTATTCTTCTCATTTTGCCAGACTAGTGTAAACTTTCTCACAGCCGGCAGGCTTCCTGGACATTTGACAGTCAGAGCTGCCACTGCAGGGCTCTGGTGAAGCTTTCCAAATGCCACATCCACCTCAAACACCCTCAGCCTGCATTCTTCTTTTAATTCCTTTTACTTAGCAGAGATAAGGCTGAGTCTGGGTCATTCATGCCTATAATCCCAGCACTTTGGGAGGTTGAGGTAGATCACTTGAACCCAGGATTTTGATACCAGCGCAGGCAGCATAGCAAGACCCCGTCTCTACCAAAAATTCAAAAATTAGCTGGGTGTCATGGTGTGCACCTCTAATTCCAGCTACTTGGGAGGTAGGGCCCAGGAGGTCGAGGCTGCAGTGAGCTGTCATCACTCCACTGCACTCCAGCCTGGGCAACAGAGTGAGACTCCAACTCAAAAAAAAAAAAAAAAAAGGCCAGGCTCAGTGGCTCAGCCAGAATCACGGTTTCGAATCAGGAATCTAGGGAAAGAGAGTCCTGACATACAGGACACTACACGGCCTCCACTGTGTACGAATAAAGAATCATTGTTGTACGTGTCGTCTGTCCAAAAAATTTCGAGGGTGTCTGTTATGGTACAAACAAGAAACAGAGTTTCTAGCTCCCGAATGTTTCAGAGAAATTTAGAATGCAGATATTATGAATGGTCATTTTAGGACTCCAGCAACGTTCTGGTTCTCTTAAAAGTTGTAAATGGGTATTGGGCAATTCAAGTCCGTTAGGTTCCTCGAAACACCTAATGCCAGATTCCAGGACAAAAGGAATCTTCTTGCCATATTTGGGTGTAACTCTGGTCTTAATGTAAATCGTGCAATCCTTCTCCTTCCGTTTCTCTTTTTATTTTGAGAGGGTATAAGGTTTTGCACTTGCCAAATGTTTATTA